TTTATGGTCTGGAATCTCCACTTCCCCACAACTCAATCTGAGCTCCTGGGAGACCTTTCCTTCTTGGAGACATGGGTTGGGGAGAGCAGAGATTTCCCCACATTCTAACTGGAGCCTTCTGTGCCGTCACCCACAAGAATGGCTTGATAGGTGGACGCACAGTGGGCCCAGAGTAAAGGAGAAGGCATAGGGGCGTCTTTGAAAGACTCTCAGATCATCTCAATAAGAAGGCCAGCCTTGTTGCCTCAGCCTAGGAACTCAGACTTCATCCTGGGCCTCATCATATTAGCTCCCCAGGAGCTTATCTGACGCTTTCTTAGAAGTGGTAATGGTCAGCATCCAAAGGAGTCTTTATACATGAAGTGACCAAGGCCCAGATCACCACAGGGAACACGGGTCGTGGCACTTCCTGCTGCACCTGATCTTCCCCCAAAGGAGACAGCCTGTGCTTCTCTGGTCCCTCCCAGGGACTGCCAAACCTGGCCCCTCCGCATCCTCCCTACCTGGAGTCCAAAGCGGACGGAGTATCTTCTGCACAGTTGCCCTCTCTCCTCACTGCTGGCTCCTGGAGTGGTGTTGTCAGCCCCAGGCAGGCGTACTACACAGCTCTTCAGCTAGGTCCCCATCACATCACTTCTGCTTCCTGCCCCACCCCCCAATGTGGTTGAAGGTCCCCTTTGCTCACCTCCTCACAAACACCCTCCTCTTCATCGTGCCCTGCTAACAGCCCTCAGAAAGCCAGCTGTGAGGGTCAGAGACTCTCCCGTGTACACCAACACCGCAGTCTGGGTTTGGGAACCTTTGGTGTGGTGGTGAACTATGGTGTAGATGGACAGACCAGCAGGGCTGACTTCTGACACACACACAATTCAGGTGTAAGCAGCAGGAGCCAGTATGCCTGGGTTTGGGTAAGCTCTGTTGTTAAACAGCTGTGTGAGCTTTCCTCATCTGAAAATGAGGCTAATATTATGCAGGTCCCATAGGTTTTTCTGTGAGGATTAGGTGAACAAAAAACAAAAACCGAGGAAATCAGTAGGGTATTGGTGATGGTTATACTAATATCCAAAACCATGATGGATGCAATTGATGTCATTGAAATGTACAAAGGAAAAATGTTGAATTTACAAACAAAAAACAAAAAACCCCACAACATAACAGTTGCCCTGGGGCCAGCTCTGATTCATGGTGATTCCATGTGTGTCAGCATAGAACTGTAATCCAGAGAGCTTTCAGTGGCTGATTTTTCAGAAGTAGATCTCTAGGCCTTTCTTCTGAGGTACTGAGTGAGCTCAAACTACCAATCTTTTGGCTACTGTCTGTCCCACCGAAGGACTCCAGGTGAGTTGATGTATGAGCTGGCTTAAGTGAACTAAGCTAAAATCTTTTAAGAGTGCCTGGTTCTCCGTGTTAGTATATAAGACCATTCACTTCTCACTGAGCAGTGGGAAGGAAACACATGTAGGCTTTATTCAGAATTCGCTGCCTCTTTCTGCCAAACCTAAACCCCAGCATGAACTCCATGCATGTCTCTCAGGACGGGGTCTCCTGTTCCACCCTTTGCAAGGTGAACTGGTGACTCCCACACTGACCCTTAACCTCCTCCTCATCTCTGGCTTGAGCCTTCAGCCACAAGGTGGATGGGTGAGGGCCTGTGGGACCCTGATGGTGAGAAAGAGGTAGGTGGGGCCAGAGGCCTAGGGTCTTCACTCTTTGTCTTGCCTGAGGTCAGGGTGGAATAAAGTTTCCATGACTCACAGAGGTGGTTTTTGGGGGTCAGATTTAGATGGGTTCTGAGGTGGGCACAACTGGGCTAGTGTGTGTGGGGGGACTGTTCTCACACATTCATCCTCGCACTGTGTATGACAGGAACAGACAACCACAGGACCCAGACCATGTGTGACACCATAGGGTGCCTCATTCCTTCATTTATGTTCCCCAACAAGTACCCTGCTCTTACGGGAATGGGGGCTTCATTGCCTGCTTGGAACCTGGCCCACATGCCCTTCTCTCCTGCCCCGTTCCTCCCTCAAAAACTACAGTCTCCAGAGCCCCTTTCAACTCCCTCCTGTGGCCTGACATGAAGGCCAGCCTAGACTGTGAGGATCAATTGAGCCCCTGTGGGTGCTGAGAAACCAAGCTGGAAAGATTTAGAACCTTGCAAAAAACATGCAAAGAGGTTAAATAGAGGGAAACGGTTAAAATCCTACCTTTGCTAGAAACTTGCGGTGTGACTGTTCTGGGCCTTAGTTTTCTCATCTATAAAATCAAAGGTAGGCTGTCTGAATTTCTATGGATCCTTTTAGCTAATGATGAATCATATACTTTGTTTTTCAGGTCTTGAGTAGCTTACCAAGTGGCTAATGTCTAAGAGATGCTGGTGGGATACCCGTTTAAGAACAGTGATGGTACCTAGATTAATAATGACTAGTTTTAGCTTATATGATTTAGGATTGCTGTCTTTTTCAATTGAAATTGAGCACTTGAAATGATCTTTAAGCAGTTTTGCATCCACAATATAAGTTCAACAAGTGCACAATTGTTCCATTGCCACACAGCATCTATATGGTTTTTACAATAGCTTTATTGAGGTATAATTCACATGTCATAGAATTCATCATTTATAGTATACATTTAAGGTATTGACCCACATAAGATACATGTATTTGTCTCTATTCCTCTGAAACACAAGAGAAAGAAGGGAACCAAAGTCTCAGGACAGGACTAATAGTCTACACACATGAACCATGGTCTCATCTATCCTGAGACCAGAAGAACTAGATGGTGACCAGCTTCCAGAATTGACCATTCTCATCAGGGCCACAGTATTTGGATCTTCATAGACTGGGAGAAAAATGTGGATCAGAAGTCAAATTCTTAAGAAGTCCAGACTTACTGGACCAGCTGAGACTAGAGGACTCCCAAGACTATCACCCTGAAGTACTCTAAACCTTAACTGACATTATCTCTTGACATCCACTTTAGCTAAAGAGATTGGCTTAAAAAATGAAGAATATCACCTATGATTAACGAGCTTCTTTTAAAAAGTTATCTATGTAAGACTAATGATCAAGCCAAAATGAGAAAGGAAGGGGTAGGGAAGCTAGAGTAATGGAAACGACACAACCAGAATGAAATCAATGAGAACGGCACGTTGTGAAACTAGAACCAGTGTCACTGAATCATCTGGGTAGGAATTGTTAAATGGGAAACCAATTTGCTGTGTAGACTCTCACCTTAAAATATAAAATACTGTTTTCCAAAAAAACTTATATTCACAGAGTTGTACATTCATCACATTTTAAAACATTTTCACTAATTTTAGAACTTTTTCATCACCCCCAAACTAAGTTCAATACCCATTAAAAGTCCCTCCCCTTTCCCTCTCACCCCCAAGCCCTCTCTCCAGTCCTGGACAACCACTAATCCACTTTCTATGTCTACGTATTTGCCTATTTGGAACATTTCATACAAATGGATTCATAGAATATAGGCTCTTTTGTGACTGGCTTCTTTCACTTAGCGTAATATTTTCAAGATTCGTCTATGTGTGACCTGTATCCGTTTCTTCTTTTTATGACTGAATAACACTCTATTATGTGGTGATACTGCAGATTGTTTTTTCATTTACTTTTGAGAAACACTTGGATTATTTTCACTTGTGAGCTATTATGAAAAAAACTGCTATGAACAAGTTTGTGTACAAGTTTTTGTATGGACATACAGTTGCATTTCTCTTGGGTATATACTTACAAGTGGAATTGCTGGGCCCTTTGGTAATTGTTTTCTTTTTAGAAAAGCTCTTGTCTGAAGTGTCTGTTCCATTTAATATTCTCACTCATATGTGATGACTCCCATGTCTCCACAGTCTTCCCATCTCTAATTATTGTTGTGTTTATTTCTATCCTAATAGTTTGAGTTGGGTTATTTGTCTTTTTCTTGTAGAGGTGTTGTAGTTTCCTATAGATTTTAGAAATTAGTCCCTTGTATGAAATGTCATTGCAGAAAAATTT